GAGGCACTGAGTATGCTGTCAGGGAACGCTAAGCGCTGCGAGGGGAGGCGAGGCGGGGTGAAGGGAAGAGTGAAGGCAGGCTGTTTTAGATAGAGCTCTCAGGAAAGGACTCTCTGGGTGTGAGGTCAAGTCAGAGACTAAAGGAAGTAAGGGGCTGAGCCATATCTGGGGGAGAGGACAGTGACTGCCGATGGGAACACGCTTGGCCTGTTCCCAGAATGGCCAGGAGCCAGCGTGGCCGGAATGAGGCCAGCGTGAGGCCGAGCAGAGGCGGCAGGGTCGGCGAGGTATGTGGGGCCAGTGCTCTGTGGGCCACCGTGGGACTTTAGATTTCACTCAGCGACAGGAAGTAGTGGGAGAATTTTAGCAGAGAAGTGATACGATCTGATTTCATGTTATAAAATTGGCTCGGGTTGATTTTGTGGAGAATGGACTATCGGGGTAACCGTGGAAGCAGAAAGACCGGAAAAGGGGTTACAGCAATGACCGCGGCAAGGGATGATGGTAGCTCGCTAGTCCGTGACGGGAGAGTGATGCCAGCAACAGCTGCTTGGCGCTGCAGTGAGAATTAAATGAGATGATATAAGTGGCTTAACAAAGCGCCTGTTACATGGCGATAACTCGCTGTTGTTTTCATGATTATTTGGGGGCAATTCTACTCCAACGGTAGCTCCTTTCTTAAGCCTTGGTGCTGCCCCAGGTCGAGGGATTCCAAATACTCCTTCATCCCCTCTAAACATCTCCTCCTGTGTCCTAAAGCAGCCTTACCTACAGTACGTCTTCGGTCAAAGATGTTCCAAAGGCTTTCCCAGGACTGTTTTCACCCCTTGAGGCGGCAAGTCCTGCCCCTGATGACAGCAGGCGCAGGTGGTGGAGAGCACTGGCACAGCAGCGCTTCCCGGGCGCAGCTGGTCGCGTGAGGGGCCTTTTCTGGATGTCACCCCACAGGGGCCCATGCTGGCACTTAGGGAGGTCCAGGGGTACTAAATGGGACAACCCCGAACAGTAAGTGACCACGTTGTCCCTCTGGGAAATCCTTAGATGGCAGGAGAGGCTCCCTCCATGCAAGGCGTACTCGGCCCAACTCCAGGGAGCTATGCAGTGGGGCAGGGGACCCGGGACGCTGGTGCAGAGGAAAGAGCACTGGGTTGAGGACCAGGCCTCAGCCTCAACTCTCACAAGACAAGACATGTGACTTCAGATATTTCATTCATTCAGCTTCCTAATCCACAAACATGGGAGGATTTTTCTTGACTACCTCCTCAGGAGGCTAAGAAAATTCCGTAAGATAATGCCCGACTGTGCATTTATTAAAATATAAATCATCATGAGGCTGAACAACCTGTCTCTCTGTACATACAAGTCGCTAATAAGACAGAAAATAGTCTCTGCCCTAGAGAATCTATAATTCACTCCCCATTAGCAAAGAGCCGCGAGCTCCCATTAGAGAAGAAAGTAGGAAATGTGCTTTCAAAATCACAGGCCTGGCTTCCACAAGCCAAGCATTTTATATTTGATTAAACTTTGCAAATGCCAATTCTTTTCTCCCCTAATTAAGCATATTTCCCAAGCATATTCATATTGTACTGAAACATATTTAATAAAAGATACTCAAAATGCTACTTAGGCTTTTTAAAACAAAATCACAAGTAAAATTGTTTATGACGCCCATCTTCTTTCTAAAATAGGAAAGGAAACAACCCAATGGCACGGATTAAGCTTTTCCTGTTTTGCTTTGTTTTTGTTTTGGTTTCAGTTATGTTCATCTCCTTTATGGCAAAATGGTCTCTTCGGGAGAAATTCTGATCTGCTAGGATAAAATTAAACTGATCTCTTATCAAATTTCATTTTTGTAGTCAGAAAGTAGCCACTTGGATGCATTCACTCACTATTCATCCACTTGCTAACAGGTCATAATGATCTACCACAGGCCAGTTTTGTACAAACTTTCAAATTTTACTCTAAAGAGCCCAAATAAACAACAACACAGGCATAGGAACAACTCACACTAAAAGCTAGACTTTGTGTAATTCTTTGAAAGAGATGGTTTTCTTTACTTAGTAAAATAAATTATTAATAAAAAAATAATTGTGTTAAAACTCACTGAGGTTAAAATTTTGGCAAACTAAATGTGTTAGATTAAGGACTTCGGCGGGCACCATTTACCCTACATTCACTCCCCTTCTTACCTGGGCAAACTGCCAGCTCATCAAACTCCTCCGGACCCTCGCTTGCCGCTTGCGACAGTCCGAAACCATTTCATTAACTTTGCCAAATCCAATCAGTTCCCTGTGGTCACAGATGTGCCTTAAAGCGTTTGAGCACAGATCCCAAAGCTCTACCAATATCCAATTTTCTGGTTCTGAGACACAGCTGAGTGTATCAGAGGTGCACCCTCCCACTGCAGTTTTAGTACTTAGTTTTACTTTATTAACAGGTTGTCTGATGATATTTGGGAGAGTTCAACAATAACAAGAGTGTGTGTTTTTTTAAACAGGATTGCTCATTTAATTGGTGTGTATTATACAGTAGATCATTTTTCTATGTTGGGCCAAGTCTCCTTTCATTAACAGGTCTATGTGGCTGTTAATCAATGTTAATTGGCTTTATCTTAGGGAGGCCCCATTTAGAAGACAAGGTCTCTTCAGGAATGTTAACTAGACTTATTGTGGTGATCATTTCACATATATACAAATATCGAAGCATTATGTTGTACACCTGAAACTAATACAGCATTATATGTCAATTACACCTCCATCATTTAAAAAAGAGGGATAATCCTTTGTAACTACAAACCAGCACCAGAGACACAAAGATTCGTTGCTGTCACCTACTAAAAGCAAAGTGCTAAGTTTGTGTAAGAATCAGCTGAGGAGCTCGTTAGAAATACAGGTTTTGTTGCTTTACTCCAAGTGATTCTGATTCAGGGGCATTAGCACAAGGCCCAGGAATCTATTTTTAAAAGCACCAGTTTGTCCCTAATTCAGGCTGTTATTAGGTCACACTTAAGAGAAATATATATATATATTTACCCATATTAGACGTTCCACATATTCCTTAGGAAGATGGGATCACACGCTACATATTGTTCTATGGTAGACTTTTTTTCAGGGAATATTATACAATCTTTTTTATTAATATATCTTTATTGATTTCAGAGAGAGGGAGGAAGAGGGAGAGATAGAAACATCAATGATGAAAGTCATTGATCAGTTGCCTCCTGCACATCCCCCACTGAGGATCGAGCCCGCAACCCAGGCATGTGCCCTGACCGGGAATCCTGGATCCTAGGTCACTGCTCAACCGCTGAGCCACACCAGGCCAGGCTAAAATCTTTTTGAATAATCACATACAGACCTGTGTTGTTTTTAATGGCTACATTATATCCCACTATATGCATGTACCATATTTTATCTAGTCCCCTATTAATGGTCATTTAGATTTTTTTTTTTCGCTACTACAAGCAATGCTGCAATGAATACCTTGACACATTTGTGCTAGAATTCCTGTAAAATATAGAGTGGAATAAGCACAGGAGAGTAGAATTGGTAGGTGTGGAATTGGGTATGTGAACAGATCCTGCTGAATTGCTCACCAATTTAGTTGTATGGATTTACAGTCCTGCCAATGGTCTCCCCCGAGAGACCATTGATTTCCCCACACCTACACCAATGCTAGTATCAATCCTTTAAATCTTCATCTATCCGACAAGATATAAAAATCTTAATTTGCATTTAACCATGTTTTTAATATCAGAATAAGCAGCATTCACTGTATCACTGAAACAAATTATCTAAAATTCTCTAAAACATAACAACTTATTTTTGGAAAACTTTTATTTATAACTTAAAACTATCATTTATGAAACGAATCGGGTGAATTTCAATTATATGTTCATTATGTAGTATTTACTTAGTTTTACCAAGTGATATAAAAGTGAGTGACATCTTGTGCTCAAGCCCCAGCTTTGCCACCCAGCAGCTAGGTAACCTTGGGCAATTCACTTGCTTTGTTGAGAGCTTCAGTTTCCTCTTTTGTAAAATGGGGGTTATACTCGTTTTATAGGATTGTACTGAAGGTTAAATGAAATTATAATTTTAATTGCAAGTATTATTACCACCACAATAACAATGCAAGGAAAATTACCAAATGACTAGAATTGTTTGTAAAAGTCTCCCTTAATAATTATAAAATAATTATGTTGATATTACCGAGGTCAGAGTCTATTAGGTAAGTCAACAATTAATTGGGATTAGTAAAGTCACTAGAAGAGTGTATTTTTCATAAGGTTATCACACTGCTTACAAAATCACTGCTCTGGTTGTTCTGGTTCTCTATGAATACTCCAAATATTTCCTAAATTACTCAGATAAAATGGAATTATCTAAATATGTAATCAACTAAACACCAGCATTTTTATTTCAAGTTTCTAAGAGAGTCCTGTTTCTAAGCATACAGTAATACAATTCAAGTAAAGCCAGGGAGATCTCCTAGAGCCAATAAATGAAAATTCTAAAATTTTACTGTGATATAACACACTGGAGACCTTATCTTTCATTCTTTCCCAAAACTAACACCAGTCTAACCATTCATTCCTTAAATGTCTCAGTACCTACCATGCACAAAGTCTTATGCTAAGTACTTTGGGCATATAATCTGCACTCAAGAGATAAACACTCATATTAAAAATAAAAGGGCAAAACATTATCTAAATGTGCCTGTGCTTTGGGTATGACAAATAATCAGCCAGTGGTACATGGCCCCTGGAGCTCACCTTCTTTTGGGTGGACACTAGTGGACCTGTCACATTTCTCGTTCCTTAGCCAGGAACACGTAAAGCAAGGAATGAGACGCCACTGCCCTGTGACTTACTCCCCAAAGCTCTCTCTCAGCGGCTCAGTTCGTCTGTCTTCCTCCTTTATTTTCTTCTCCCACATCATGATTTTTGCAAAATTTTAGGATGATCTTTTTAATGAATAAAATGATCTGGAAAAAATGTATTTTCAGTTTTTATTTTAATGAGAGTCAACACTGTTGTATAAAGTATTGTATATCGAAACCATTTACACAAATATATAAAACTTCAAAAAACTAAACTCCAGTTAATTTCCATAGTGTTAAAAAGGTCAAGAACACATAAAAATATCCAAAGTCATAGTTTATTCTTTAGGAATGTAAACTCTGGAATACAATTAGAAACAGGAACAGTTACTATGAAAAAATTAGTATCGCTACATGATCAGAAGTAAAGAGAAGAGGTACACAATAAACTCCACTTCAGAGGAAGCAACAGTGTGTGAAATAGAATGTGGAGTTTACTACTAGAAACTTCACAGCAAGACACAGGTAGGTACTCTAGAACTCTTAAAAAACCACAAAAATATCTTCCAAATGTTCACTGCTAGTGTCTTTAGATGTGCACAAGTTACAAAGTATAGAAGACAGCATATTTATGTTCTCTGATGAAGGATCTAACAATACTGAACACAAATGTAAGTCAAAGTATTGAGTATAATTTTACTAAGGAGCAAATCTAAAAGCGTAAGTTCATGCTAATTAAAGAGCTGGAGAGTTTTTTATTTTTCATCCAAAGGCTGGGAAAACACTATTATACATTAATTTCTATCTACAGTGCTTAGTTTAAGTGCCCATCAAATTATTCCTTCTTTTTAAATGGCTTTTTAAAAAATATTTTTTCAGTTACATTATTTAACATATATATTTCCTTGAGTGCTTCCCTTTAATAGAGTGTAAATGTATTGTGCCTAGAGACTCAAGTTTTAATAGCCTACTTTAAATATTTGTTTAAAATTCTGAGTACATTTTTTCCTGTAACTTAAAGATTTTAACACTTCAATTTTATTCTTCCAAAATAGGCAAAATCCCTTACAACTGAGATTCTTTACCTATTTTGGTTTAAAAAATATATTTCCCTTTAATTCAAATTTTTATTTTTAAATAAGTAATGTTTGCTAAGCCGTTACATCATAATTGAAAAGGACAATAAAATATTGCTTTTTCAAAATGAACTTTGTCATCACTTAAAGACAGAATTCTACTCTACAGGTCTACAGAGGTCCTTAAAAAGTTCATTGATGGTGTACAAAGGATTCCAGGGTGCTTACTTGCCCTGGGTCCCCTGGGAAAAGTCTACTCTGCTTCCCTTGAAAATCTTTTGTTTCACTCCCCACTTGGATTCTAAAAGGCAAATGCTGGGACCCAGTTTCACTAGAATACCACAGATATTTGGGTATTTTAAGAGTAAGAGGTTTAAAATGTGGAGTGGAGCTACAATTCCTGCTCACATCCTCTGAGCAATAGGGTACAAGGCCCCAACCTTGTGCAGAGTCCTTCTCATGATAAAAAGTGTTATTCTGGATATGTAGGTGTGTGGCCAAATGGTCACAATAGCATCTTCATGAGAAAATGACCTACAAAAGCCACCCCAACTTTCAAATTTGGACAGGTGAGTGGGGTGAGAATAGTAGGGACAATTACAATTGCTATCATAGTTAGCATTATCCAATATTATAATAGCTATGAAAATTTCAAATGTATAATTCTTATTTGAAATAGTATCAAAGGTACTATAAAAGAATTTTACTGTTAATATATAACTCCATACTCCAGAAAATTAACTGACAGAAGTTAGTCATTGCAAAAATTCAGAACCACTCCACTTAGTGAGCCTTCAGAGTTTTTAAAAGAATATACACGTGCAGATTTTATAAAAGTGTGGTACTCCTCCTGGCACTTAAAATTATAGACATCTACAGCTCTGATTCCATCTATGGTTAACAAGAAAAATATAACATGTTACATTTTTATTGTAAAATAAAAATCATTAAAAGATTTAGAACTAGAGGACTTAAAAAGTCAAGTGTTATTGACACTATTAAAAAATTAACTTGCCATTAAAACAATGAAGATTATAATGAGCTAGTATCTAACATATTTGATCTAGGGTTGTGAGACCACTGAAAACTCTAAATATTAGATAAGTGATTTGCCTGCACTTTGATATTCTCTTCTCAAACTTTATCACACGTAAAAATCACTCGAGGATCTTGCTAAAACGTAGATTATGATTCAGTAGATCTAGAATGACTAAAATTCTGCATTTTTAACAAGATGCCAGGTGATATCAATGTTACATACCAGTCCTCAGACCACATGAGTGGCAATGATCTAGAATAATACCAAAATCAGTTTCCATTATAGCAGTCACACATTAAGATCTCACTTCTCATTTGTGCCAGCTAATGTCTCCACAAACTTATTCTACAGTATTTCCCAAGCATCTTAACTTGCTTAAAATGCTGATCTTTTAAATTAGTTCTTAAGACTATTAATACTGCTAGTAGTTATGCCTAAGGGAAATTCTTTGCTAAAGAATTACAAAAAGACAACAGGAAATTCACAGTGACATTTTTACAAACATTTTAAATTGTACACAGGATTCCTATTAAATTAATACTATATCAGCTTTCACTGTCTGGTTGCCTTCTTTTCTTTTTTTTAACTTCAATTTATGTCAAGAGACCTTATTCCATTTCTGTTACTGGACTACAACAATCAAATTTACTTATGTGAAAAACCATTTTCTATTCAAGGTTAATGAATGAAAATGAGTTCATGCCTTTTGAATAATTAGATTTAAAATAGTAGCCAAAGCAGTTATGGTCAGGACTGCATTTATATTGTAAATGTGTTAGCACTCAACACACATTTTTCACATATTTAAGCTCTGCACAAGCAGGTATAAGAAGAAAACGAGCATTTTGTCTGTGTGACCCCAGCTAGGTAAGGAAGCCACTGTGTACCAACAGTCAAAGAGAACAGTGGACAGCTCCCAAGGCCTTCTTTCCCTGTCAGCTTACTCTCATCCTCAGTCTTGCTCTCTCTCTTACTCTGAATTATTACTTAAATATTCTTGACTTACAGGCAAACTCAACCATAGCTGAATGACCATCACTAGCAAACACCAAGCTTTCACATCCATTTAGAGGTCACATAGTTCTCTAAAGCTACATATGAGTTTGCTCAGCTTCTACTGTGTTGCCTTTTTTATTTTTTCGTTGGGGGTAACTACATCGATTATTCTTTCCATCATAACAAAAACATTAAAAAAACAGGCCTGTTCACAAAATAGAGAACACATTTTTTTCATATTTTATAATTTTAAATTTAAGAACACAAACATAAACCCTAAATTAGTTCATATGTAAATATCCTTTATCCATTTCACTCTTTATTTTTTTATGACATTTTTTAGATAAACAATTTACCTAAACTAACTTCCTTCATTTGCAGACAAACAATATGATTGACACTGGCATCTTGAGAGCTGTGCTGTAAGATTTACGATTTCCAGGAAGTCTTCAATGATGTGTGCTTTGAATTATAGGAATCTAAACTAACTAGGATTTCTGAAATCAAGCAGCAGGGTAAGTCAGCTATATGGTCTATTACATGAAATCGGAAGGGATTCATCTGCTCAATCCAGATCAAACACTTCAAAACAACACATCTACTAGCAAATTGACTTTTGACATAAAAATGTTCCAAAGATTGCAACAGAAATTCCTCTGCCCATCCCTTGGAATCATATAATAGTCTAGGTTCTAAGCCACCAAGCACTTTCAGTGCTTTATATAAATTGTTCTACTAATCTGAAAGATGGTCTAGTTACAATCATTCACATCAGGCACTTTTCACATCATTTTTGTTTTTTCATGTGCCCGTTTTTCAAAACTGGCTGCTGCATAGCCAGCTGTACAATTCCTGGAGTTGCACCTCTGCTTCATCCTTTGAAAAACAGTTCCCATCCATGGAGATTTCCTTTTATTCCGAAGGCCTAACTTACATCTGCCAAAACAGGAGTTGCTGGGGAGGGGGCGGAAAACTCACAACCTCAGGAGATGTAACCAACCTGCCAAAATGTATCATCACACTGACAACCTCAGGGCAACAGAAACAAAGAAAAAAACACAACCAAAAAAATAACAAAACCATATTTCAACTTACTCAACCTAGACATCATTCCCTTGATAAAGCCTTCAGAACTTAAGACATTGGGGCTCCGTCAGGAACAGGGATGAAAGACCCTGCACACTTTCATAAAGAAGCAAAGCCACGTTTCTAGATTCACTGGTCACATGAGAAAACTCTTACAGATTAGTCTGTGGACAAAGTAATGCTAATACTAGGAGGTCTCTGCTGACCTGACTGGTGCTTCATTGGAAGTTCAGTCCTTTCAGAAACGTAAATAAGCTTCTCTTCTTGGAGACTACAAGCAGAAAACCTATTGGCATCTGTCCCACTCCCACAGCCAACAACAGAGGATGGGTTAGGTGGGACTGTGACACCACTAACTTGTTCAAAGGATTTACTAAACACAGTTGCAGCAGTCTTAGCCAAACCATGGCTGTTAGGTTTGGGCAGGGACTGGCTGGTTGTTAACGTCAGTCTCTTCAAAGAGAGAAGCTCAAGGTTCTCACTTTGGGCTCTCTGAGTTTGTTTTCGAGCAAAGTGATCTTTGCAAGACTCCCCTGTAGTTTCTTTTTCTTTTCCTCCAGTTTTGCTTCCTCCTGACCGTCTCTGAGTCTTTCCTACACTTGGCTTACTAGAATTGTGACTATTATTGTTTGATAATCCTGACTGGCTGGTACTAGATGCAGCCCTGGAATAAAATCCCTCGTCAGCTTCAGATATGTCCATCAGTTCTTCTTGACCAGTTAATTCTGTATTTCCTAAACAAAGAAATAAGAAAGATTAAGATTAAGTATTTTCATTTTTTTCACGATTAATACCAAATCAATTACATTTTAGATAAATTAAACTTCAGCATAATTAGGTAAAGCAACTGGTTATAGACCAAAATCAAAGAATAAATCAAAACGGCCTATAAAATGCCAAAAAGAGTTCATTGTAATTAAATAACAGTAATTTAGAGTGTATGAAACAAAAAGCATGCCATAAACCACAGCCCACTGTGTTTTTAGAAAGAGTCTTCTTACTATCCATGCAAAAGGTCAGAAACAATCAGGAAAAATACCACACAGTACAACTAGGGCAAGCTCTTCTTGAGTAACGAAGCTGTAAAAAATCACAGCCCTTACCAAGGAACATTTTAAAAGGGTATTAAAATATTTTCAAAAATTTTAAAGGGCCCGGCCGGGCATGGCTCAGCGGTTGAGCGTCAACCTAGGATCCAGCCGATAGGGGTTCAATTCCCGGTCAGGGCACATGCCCGGGTTGCGGGCTGCAGCCGATCAATGACTCATCATTGCTGTTTCTATCTCTCTCTCTCCCTCTCCCTTCCTCTCTCTGAAATCAATAAAGATATATTAAAAATAAATAAAAAAATAAAAATACAAAAAATTTTAAAGGTTGTATACTATATTCTAGATTTTACAAAGATAAAAAGTAGACTGTAAGTATCACAAGTTCAAACTTGTTAAAATTCTATATACATTATCCTTCAGATCAAAGATGGCAAAAATACAAAGATGAAATAATTAACTTTTTGATCTCAAAACATAAGCAGAAAATCATTTTGGAAGCAATTTTCTGCCTCAGTTTTCATAACAATTTACTCAGAGACAACATAGGTATAGCCGTTCCAAAGAGCATTAAGTGTCATTGAGAAATTACGGTGCATACTTCATGCATTTTGATTAGATGACATGCAAAATCTCTGTGACTGTGCAACTGCTGCGTAAGACATGCGGCGGGCCCTCTGCGGGAGGTACCTTGGCGAGCGGCTGCCCAGCGCCGGGCTAGCACTGCCCTCTGCCAGGGGAGTTTATCCCGTCCTCCAGCACTTTCCTCACAGATTTTTGCCTCCTGATCTCTGGCAAGCCTTTGCTTTCAGTTCTAGGATCTGTGGCTGCTTCCTGCACACCCTGTATATGCTGAGCGTCAATCTCTCCTAGTGCTCTGCCTTTTTCCCCATTCCCGGTTCTCTCTCCGGCCACATTTGTGACACTAATCTCAGGAATGACAAGGATGCCCAATTCAGTAGCATCACTATTGTTGTCAGGTTGCTCTAGAATTGAAGATGATAAGACAAAATGATGGCTGGAAACAAAACAAAACAGAAATGCAAAACAAGAAAAACAAAAGATCCAAAACAAAAACCGGACGACTGAACATTATAAATTAAGTCAAATATTTGCACTGCAGAAATTTCCATAATTTATAATACTGATGACACTGGAGACGACAGGGTCATATTCTTTCATTTTAAATGACAACGAAAAACTCAGAGAGCATCAACTCATGTTCTGCATTTTTTCACACACATATTTGACATGGACTATGAAACAGAAATTTTTTTATAAATCAAAGTAGGATTTCCATTGTTTTAAGATAATAGTGTGACCATTTGAACTTATTTATAAAGCCTTAGGCAAATGTTCAAGGATATACAGCTAAAACTCTAGCTTTTGTCAACAAAAGGAAACAAGCTACTTAGGAATTCCCCTTTTTACACTTAAAATTCTGTTTCTTATTACATTGAGGCTGACTTAATAAATCACAATATTGAGGAAATGCTCATTCACTTATGATATCATGGTTAATAATGCTACAGGTATAGTTTTTGTCTCACATACCAATCATTTTGTATATTAGTAAATATTAATGCAGCTGTGATATAACTAAACAGCCCACTCCTTCAGACTCATACTAATTCCATAAATTTAGTCCATCTTGTAACAGTTCATTACTAAGCTGGAGAAAAATAAAAATGGATTTGGAAAAACAAGTTGTGTGTTGGTCCTTTATTCTGAAAATGGTCATTGTAATAAAAACAAAGGAATGGGCCTCCTAACTAGTTAATACTTGTAGACATTTTATTCTTTTTGTCTTACACTGGAAAGGCATGATTTTATTTAGAGTTGTTAAGGAAATATCTGTAAGAAATGGGAAAAAAATAACATGACTATATTTGCCATGGGCCAGTAATGAAAGTTAAAAGTTCAAAATAATGTAAGACTATGTAAAACATTTTATACTCTTAAAAAGCATAGACCACAAATCTGCTTGAGGGACATTACATATTACTTTCAAATGCTTTTCATGATTAGATCATAATGCTCTCACTAATGGTGCTAAAGCATTTGAAACAGTAACATGTAGTAAAAGAATGGAGGCCAGACCCACAAACTCCCAAACTTTGGATCCCAACCTTTGCGGCACATTGGTATCAGCTGGGGATCCTGAAGAACTACTGATGCCTGGCTCTCACCCTAGGCATTCTGATTTAATTAGTATGACGTATGACCTGGGCACTGGGATTTTTAAAAGCTCCCAGGTACCTAATGTGCAGCAAAGTTTGGGAACCATGATTCTATATGATTCTTTCAAATTTTGAAAACTTAAAACAAAAGTTGTTATGGATGCCCTGGGTACCCCATACCCAACACAATATGTATTTCTGGAGGTCCTCAAACCTTCATTTTGCCCTGGGCTTTTTGGCCAGTGTGCTGGTATAATTAGCCTAGTGCTTCAGAAAAATTTGACTGAAGTTTCCCTAAATGAAATTTTTATTTCCTAGACAGACGAAAGCATGTTGGTAAGGTAGCATCACTCTGCAGCTTCTAGGTGCCCCTATAACACAGGCTTAATGAGACCAGAAAGTTCCAAGCCTATCCCATTGCTAACAGTTGTCTTCAAAGTGAGGGCAAGTAAAATCCTATCTATTAAAGGGACCATAAAGCCAAAAAATTATAAACGGTGGAAATTATCCAGACATAACAAAGCCAATGAATATTAATACAAAATTTTAAAAGTTATGAAGCCTGGCCGGGCACCGCTCAGTGGTTGAGCATCAACCTAGGATCCAGGAGCTCACAGTTTGATTCCTGGTCAGGGCACACGCCCGGGTTGCGGGTTCAATCCCGTTGGGGGCCTGCAGGAGGCAGCCGATCAATGACCCTCTCATCATTGATGTTTCTGTCTCTCTCCCTCTCCCTTCCTCTCTCTGAAATCAGTAACGATATTAAAAAAAAAAAAAAAAGCCCAGCCGGGTGTGGCTCAGTGGTTGAGCACTGACCTAGGATCCAGGCAATAGGGGTTCGATTCCCGGTCAGGGCACATGCCCGGGTTGCGGGCTTGATCAATGACTCATCATTGATGTTTCTATCTCTCTCCCTCCCCTCCTTTCCTCTCTCTGAAATCAATAAAGATATATTAAAAAATATATATATATATGCATAGGTGGCCTAACAGAACAGAAAATACTACTTACATTGAACGGCATCGAATAGTTTTTTGAGTGTGTTCACATATTATTCAATTATATTCTCAAAACAATGTGTTACAGTGAGCCTCTCAGGTAGGCAATTTGACTCACATTTACAGACAAGGAAGCTGAAGTTCAGAAAGAGCCACACAACTATTCAATGGGGAGCTAAACAGAAAAATCTTTTGACTTCAAATACTATAAATTCTAACTCTTCCATTCATTAAAATCAGTTCGAGTTAAATGTCCTCTGACATCTTTCAATTAGGTTTAACTTATTTGCTGGACTCCTAGTCACTTCACAGAAAGCAGGTAATTTACTTTGGCTAAACAGAAGGAAGAGCAAATAAACGTCTCTAAGAAAACCTGAGTCAGTCATAACTCTCAAGGTTAGTTTTTCTTAAGTTGCATTTATTTTTTAAAGGTGCTAATAAAATTATTAATTTAAAATGGTGAAAATTTAGAATTCTGCAAGCAAAACTATAAAATGACAATAATAATAATATAAAACAGCACTAGGATTAGCAACTGGATTACTAATCACATTTACTGTGATAGAGGTAAAGATCTGTAGCCCAAGAAGCCATGATATTAAAATTTTAAAACATGAAATTAGATGGCAAGTAGAAAAAATAAGATCATGTGTTTTTTCCACAAGCAAAATCTTTAACTAATTAATACATGCATGTTATCAGTTAAAAATGGCAAAAATTTTAACTGCTTATTAAATTCATAAAAAGAAAAGCAGGAAATTCTGTACAGAGCTAGAAAGAACAGAAATTTAATTCTCAGGAAAATTACAGAGTAAAGAAAGATAATTATGCAATTCCAATAAGCATGTTACATTATCTTATCTTGCCCTCCATTATTTCTCCAACATCTTCCCCTAAATAGCTCTGTGACCCAATCCCCACTACACCCACCTTCTTACTGGTCTTACTGTTCCCTACGCCTGGAATGCTCCTCCCATAGAACTACATGGCTCATCTCCTTACTTCTCCTTCGGGGTTTTTCTCAAAAGTTTCCTTCTCAGTGAAGCTCTCCCTGATCATATGCCCCATATTTCATGTGCCCTCCTCCCCACTTCTTAGCACTTAATCACTCTCTAACCTACAATTATTTATCTATCTTATCCACTGTATGTAAATTCCATGAGGGCAGGGATTGTTGCCTGGTCACTGCTGTATACCCAGTACCTGGGAAAGTACTTTGCACATAGTAGGCGCCCAATAAATATTTGTTTGATGAATTGAATGAATTTCCTGTTATGAGGTGAAATTATTATTAAATAAAACATGTAGAAGACATGAGAAAGGCAGGCTAGGAATGTGTTACTTAAATTTAGAAAAGGAAAAATAATATACAGCTTATGCTAATAAGAATTTTTTAGCTGACAGAGAAAGGCAACGGCTCTTTGCTTTAGAAAAGTGAAGTAGCCACCTCTAAATATTGGTTTAGTAAAATGCTTAGTAACATCAAAAAGATTTTTAAAAATCTATAGTT